ATGAACAACCCAAAACATAAAACATCGTCACACCTAGGACGAGAAAAATAATAAACCAAAAGCTTCAGCAGTAGTCCAAGCACGAAGTGAGGAATCACAATGGCATCCAAAATGCACGACTGACTACTAAAAACTTCAAAACTAAGCAAGTACCTAAACCATAAGAGGTACTAAAAAAAACAGAATAATAATAAGCTTTCTCAAAACAATTGCCAGATTATCTCGTAATACTCCAAACCCAAAAAGAATATCATCTACAGTGATATTTTAAACCAATATCCAATATAAAAAAACTGTGCATTACTATTTTCAAAATATGAAAATCAAAAGAAATTAACAAATTCTATTAGGAATTCAAGTAATATAACAAAACAGTTTACAAGTACTAAACCAATGAAAACTTGATCAAAAAGGTATTTTAATCAAAAAAGATGTTAACCAAGTGCAGTTCTGATTCCACAAAAAAATTGTCGGGCGCCAGTGTGTAAGACTACAAAATAATTCAAAATGTTTTCAGAGAATTAAAGCATATATATAAGAGAAATTCATGAAATATTGAAGTAAGATTTTCAAAGTCAAAATATAGCTGAAGTTCAATCAATGAACTAAAATTCAAGAGTAAGTTCAATCAAAATTTTCGGGTCATGTGACAACATAAGAACCAGACCAAAAAAAATTCTGAAGTTCAATATAGAAAAGAGCAAAATAAATTTCCAAAAAAAAACTAAGTGCAACACAAGTGCAACTGTAAATCTAATACTATTAAAATCATAAAGTGAAAGGGAATATCAAAGCTATATGAGCATGATTTTATAAAGAATTCTCAAAAAATACAAAAGTAAGCAAAATATTAAAAGTTACATGAGTAATAAATGAGAAACGAAGTGAGCATATGTAAAGTGCAAAATAGCGAAACGAAAACCACAAGATATTTTAATAAATCATGATACATGAGAGTAATGCCGCAAGCAAAAATTTTATGCAAATGTCTACGATATATGTAGGTGCAAAATTGGAGTTACAAAAAAAAACAATCTAGTGAACAAGAAATAGAAATAAATATGATAGGAATCATTTGGCGACCCATGTTCATACGACTTTTTCGACTCGAATTGACCTGAAGAACACGCAGAAGCTCCATACAGCGTAATCGAGTCTGCCACCGCTGCCAAAATTCTGCGTCTCTCACTAGAGGGGGCTTCGTCAGATGGCATTGGCCGTATAAGAGATACAACGACCTTATTTTCCTTATTAGTGGTGCGCCTTATATGTTCAATCATTTCCAGATCTTTGTCTAGCCACACACCCAGATACTTAATTGCATTTTGTCTCCGAATCTTGGAATTATCAACTAAGCTAGCTTTAGACGGTGCTTGTTTTTGTGCGTTAGCGCATGCGGCATTCCATGCAACAGCGTATGCAATATAGCGCACAAAACCGTTGCCTTTTTATATCGTGCAACATATCATTTACACCTAAATTTGTATCGGTGCGTGTTGAATAATTTAACATGGATGTTTTGAAGTTTGGAGGTTTGTGTGCTGCGCTTATCATAATAGCGAGAAATAAACAACGTAATAAACGCAAGTGTTGGATACGGGAATTGCTGAAAAAAACATAGCTATTCCTTCATAGAAAAAATGCTGTTAGATGGCGGTTGGTTCCTTCAAAACTTTACTAGGATGTCTTCAACTGATTTTGAAGAACTTTTGTCAATGGTTGGGCCAATTATTAGAAAAACAAATACAAATATGAGAGAAGCTCTTCCCGAAAAAGTAAGACTGGCAATTTGTCTGAGATATTTAGCATCCGGAAATTCATACAGGAGTTTAATGTATTCATACTAATTTCTGACTCAACTATTTCACTAATTATACCTGAAGCGTGTAATGCCCTGAATCAAGTTTTGAAAGGATATGTTAAGGTAAGAAGATTAATGTACTTCCAAAGTAGAAAAAATAACTTTATACGAGAAACCCAATATACAAACTACTTTAAAATCTAAATAATCTTTTTTTAAGCAAGATAACAAACTTTACATAAAAAGTATTACTTATGAAAATTCAAAAATTCTGCCATATCACGATTCAGTTGTTGAATAACTTGTAGTTGTACCAGCGCAGAATTCTGGTTGGATTCCCTAGTAATATCATTTGGAAGCATTTCTGAATTTGGACTCAATATGTTTGACAATTCACACCAGTGCAGATCCAGTGCAGCTATTACCGAGTAGAGTGTCACTTTAACGAACCATAGTAGGACAGCTGAGCATTTCTGGTGTAGTTGTGTTTGAGCATTCATAACTATAATTTGCAATGGAAGATCCGGGGCGGCTATTATCTGGTTGCAGAGTATCAATTGAACGCACTATAGTGGGATAGCTTGACTGCTTATTTAAACTTTGCATTTCCGCTTCAAATAAAATTTTGTTAATTTTAAACTCGGTTTCAGCTGGTAAACGTGGGTCATTTAAGCTTCTTAATTTGGAAGCAATTACTTCTCCAAAATAGGAAAATCGATCTTGTTTGGTGAATGTTTCCTTTGCCTCTGTCAAAAACTGGGAGGCTTCGTCTACCTGCGCCGATTTTTTTTGGCGTTTAGTTTTTGATGAAGGTGTTGCAAAATCCAAACCCTGTTGAGTTGTACTTGATGAAGTAGTTTCATGTTCAAGTACCTGAAACTGTTTTCTAGTTATAAAAATTAAGTTTTTAACCCTTAACTCGCGAGCACGGTATCCTGTACCGCTATTCAAAATTCAACCTTCCATAACTGCGGTCAGAATGAACTCATGACCTTGAGCCCCCACCTTCAGTATATTGTACGATGTCGAATTGGGAAAAGCGGCGCTGTAATTACTATTCTCAAAACCGATTTGCGGAAGTGATACTTTGAAGTCTGGCGGTCCGTCATACCAATAGTCGCGTATAGCGTAGAACTTTTGGATACAGGTCCAGTCAAGAAAATATTAGTTTTATTGTAGCTTATGTGTTTATGTGTGATTGAGTCGTGGTAAGTTTTTTATTTTATTTTTATTCGTTTACGTGAAAAATGGCTTCGTATCTAAAACCAAAAAAACACATTTCAGAAGGTAAAAATAAATAGTAGTGCTTAGGACAAAATATTTTATATGAATCAATATATACATTTGTGCGTAAAAAAATAAATTTTCACAGATTTGAGTATGAGAGCTGTATAATGCTAATATTTGGTATTCTGGAATATGTTATTATGGTATTTATTTTTTTCAAAATTTGCGTTATTGAAATAACATATTATGTTCGAATCCAGTGATTTTGTAAGTCAATTCCCAAAGTTTGTTTTTATTTCAGATCATGGCATCTGGCTTAGAGTGAGTAAAGTTTGGTGACAAAGACTATGAGCAAAAGCTCAGAAAATGGTTCGATGAATTGGAATCTGATGTAGAAGATTCCAATGACGAAACATTGCAGGAAGATGAAATTATAGAAGATGACTGTTCTTCCACTTCTAAGCAAGAATATGTTCCTTCAGATCATGAAAAAGAGGACAGTGAATTAAAAATGGAGTCGGTAGACCAAGATTCGAATTCGAGCTGCGATAATGCAAAGTCATGTTACAGGTGTAGTCAGTTATAAAGGTAAAAACGGTTATACTTGGAAGTCCGAAGAACCCAATAAAGCTCTAAGAACGCCCAAACATAACATTATAATCAAATTGCCCAGTCTTAAACCACCAGCAAGTCGTTTGGGGAACAATCCTTATGTTGGGGAAATTTGGAACCTTTTATTCAACAACGAGACGCTTAATTAAAATGGTATTGCGAACAAATGAAAAATTATTGGAAATAGTAAGATCTACCCACAAGAACTCTAATACCACAGATTACAAGAATACTAACCTTATTGAAATAAGAGCTTTTATCGGTCTTCTTATGCTAGCATCTATATTCCGGTCGAACCATGAAAATATGCTATCATTATTCTCAAATACGTGTACAGGTCGTCCCATATTCAGAGCAGTAATGTCTTCCAAAAGATTTGAAAAGTTACTCAAATGTATAAGGTTTGATGATGTTTCCACTAGAGTCCAACGGTGTCAGGAGGACTCAGCAGCGGCAATATCCTTTCTATTCAACCGTTTCATCGATAATTCACAAAAATGCTTCAATGTGGGTCCAACAACATGCATCGACGAAATGTTAATCAGTTTCCGAGGGCGATGCTCTTTTAAAATGTACATGCCTAACAAACCCGCGAAGTATGGTCTCAAATTACAATGTCTGACAATTGCTCGAAACTCTTATTTCTATAACGGTTACATCTACACAGGTAAAGATAGTGATGGAAAAACATTACCCGACGAAGAAAGGAAATTTCAGAAGCCAACACAGGCAGTTCTTCGGTTAGTCAAGCCTATCGAAAAAACAAGACAGAAACAGAACTGCTGATAATTGGTTTACCTCAATAGAGCTGCTTCATCAGTTACGCAAAAAAGGTACACAAACGACCAGTTGTATCTACATTATATGGGTTCCCCAATGATGCATTCACACTAATATCGCACGTTCCAAAAAAATAAAGCTGTATTATTGGTGTCTTCAGCCCATCATTCTAAAGCAACCGACACCGAAAACGCTCTTCCTGAAATAATGTCATTTTACAATGCGACTAAAGGTGGCGTTGATACTCTCGACATGAAATGCGCCAATTATTCTTCCGGCCGTCGTACTCGTTGTTGGCCCTTAGCAATATTTTATAGACTCATAGATATATCTACCAATAATACATACGTTTTATTTCTTCATTACAAAGACATTACACCAAAATTCAGACGTCTGTTTATTGAAGAACTAGCGATGCAACTCGTAAAGCCTCACATGGCAAAAAGGCTTGAAAATCCAAAATTGAACAAAGAACTTCAAGCTCTTATCAAAGGCGCTCTTGGAGTCGACGGTCTTAGGAACGAACCACCAACGAACGATCCCCTAGAAGTGAAGAAAACTTGTTTTTTGTGTCCAGACCAGAAGAAGAGAAAGACGTTTTACAAATGCTACTCTTGTCAGCAACCGATATTCCTCGAGCATGCCAGCAAAATGTGTAAGAACCAAGAAGATCGCTGAAAACTAGCAATCTTTTGTCTAGAATTTCATTATTATTCAGCTAAATTTTTTTGTCTTTGCTTTATTTTATAAAAAACTTAATAAAACCCTCAAATATTTACACTATGCTTTTAATTTTATATGTTTAAAATCTAAAGCGGTATCACTTACCGATACTCGCGATTAACGTTAATAATAATAATAACAAAACACATTTTTTTTAGGTTCCTTCAATTGACGATGAATGGCTTGAAATAGCTAAAGATTTTGAAAACCAGTGGAATTTTCCACATTGCATAGGGGCTCTTGACGGGAAGCATGTGCAAATCCAGTGTCCAGCGAATAGTGGTAGTTCCTTCTATAATTACAAAGGAACATTTAGTATCGTCTTAATGGCGATCGTTGATCCAAGCTATAAATTCATATATGCACATGTATGATCCCAGGGCCGAATGTCAGACGGAGGCGCTTTCCACACTACCTCTTTCTGTAGAGGCTTGGTTAATAACGCATTAAATATAGCAAAACCAACACCTCTTTCTAAGACGTACCTTATGTGATCGTAGCAGATGACACATTTCCTTTGAAAACCAATATTAAGAAACCATTTCCGGTTAATATACCAGCAGGATTTCGAAGGAGAATATACAATTATAGGCTATCTAGAGCCCGGCGCATTGTGGAAAATGCTTTCGGACTTTTGTCAGAAGTTTTTCGAATTTAGAAAACCGATAGCAGTGAAGCCAGATACTACAGAGGCACTAGTTTTAACTTGCACTTACATGCATAACTTTTTAAGAAGAAATGCTGTTGCCAAAAAGAAATATTCTCCACTAGGAACATTCGATATCGAAAATGTGGATACAGGAGAAATAACACCAGGTATTTGGAGAAGAGATACCGCTGGTGACACAGGCATAACCAGTTTTAGGAAAATTCCACGTTAAGCCGGAAATGATCAGAAGGTAATCAGAGAAGAGTTTATGAACTACTTTGTATCAAAAGAAGGCAGTGTTTCATGGCAAGAAACATTTGCGAACAAGTAGTTTACATTTGTAAACCAGCAATAGTAAATACAGAATTATAATACCGTAATAAAATGTTCACTCTGTTTTAAAATATTCTTATTTCATAGAAAAACCAACTATGCAGTAAACATTTACAGTTGATTGTATATCAGAATGTCATATTAAAAACAATAAATAAATACATACTTAAGTTAATGCATTTCGGTTTTAAAAAACAATTTACCACTATTTTCCTATTTCCCTCGTCCTCACTCGTGTCCTCTTGGCTGTCATATTCTGCAAGTTCAGTTTCTGTGCCGCTACGTTAAGTATCTCCATCCAAAATAAATAATATGGAGGTATAAGCGAACCAACTGCTTTTGTATGCTTCGGAGGCTACGAAGTATGACCTCAAGCTCTTAATTTTGTTCAAGACTTGCTTTGGTATTATACTGTATTTTGTACACAGTTCCTGAACAGCATCATTTCGTATAATCCTGTTTTTGTAATTGGGGTCCTCACATCGCCACAAACGAGTGAAATTTTTATAGGAGTAGATAAATTCAATAGTTTTCTCATTGTTCCATTCCATTTTGACGTGAAAATGCGAAGAGGCAAAAGGCAACACAAACAAATTCCCAAAAGTCGCGGGAAACACTGCGGCGTCTCTTTGCCTTTTGACGCAAACGATTGGTCCGCTTCGAAGAGTGCATGCAGAGACGCATGCGTCATAGTTGCGCTACGACGCATGCATCAAGTTGCACGAAAAAAAACACCGTCGAAAGCTAGCTTAACAGCTAATGAAGTTAGCTTCTGTCTTCCAGAAAGTACTACTTCCGCCTTCTCAGGAGCCAATATCAAGCCATTTTCTTCCAGCCATATGGTAATTCTCGTGATTCCACATGCCAAGAGTCAAGAGTCCTTCAAGTGTATCTCTCTCCTTGCTACTCACTATCGTCGCATGTTCGTCAGCCATACCCTATCAAGCGAATTCCCGGCAGCATGTGTAACAGAAGAACCCCATCGAAGAACATGTTCCAAAGCAACGACCCTAGGATGGATCCCTGCAGCACTCCCATGGCTACCTTTGTCGTCTTTTGCCCTACCATAAGGGTCCTCTCATCAAATAGCTCTTTATCATGTTCAGATAGCAAGGGGTGTGTAGCTTCTCGAAATATTCGACGATTTTTTGCCAATGTGCCATGTTAAAGGCGTTCTTAACGTCAAAAGCAACAATACCGTGAAGTTTCTTACTATTGTAGCTTTCGCTATCTGCTGCTTTCGCCAGCTGTAACACTTTACTAAGTGCATCTATGGCAGATTTTCCCTTGCTGACACCGTATTGTGAGGGAGAGGTTCTTTTCCTCGACGTATTTTTTAGCATACCTTCTATCAGTCGTTCTAGTAGCTTTCCAAGTAAAGTCAGCATGCACAGAGGTCTATATTCGACTTCCCTATCGGGTTTCGGAGGTTGAGGGATGAGTACCAGAAAGACTTCCATTATCAAGGATTCATTCATCACAGACAGCACTATTTCGGGTATCTGTTTAACCAGCACTTTCGCTATATCATTTAGTATTTCATCTAGTCCTGGTACCTTACGTTTTCAAGTGCGGTGCAGCTGCTTTAAGCTCACTCATGGTGAACTCTGGTACATCCAGAGTGTCCTCAAATTTCCATTAGATGTGTGACTACTTCGGAAACAATGCCTCTGCAATTTTTATTTGCTGTTCAGAATCCAGGTAGGGTCTGCCTGTGAGTTTTAGCTTCTTCATGGCTATCTTGTATGCCTGACCCCAAACGTTGTTTTCTAAGTCATTCAATAAATCTTTCCACATCCTATGTTTAGAATTCACTATAAGCTTTTCTAGTTTATTTTTGGCATATTGGTATTGTCTTTGTACTCACTGTATTCCTTGTTCCATTTGCTCTATGGTATTTTCTTTTGTATTTTCTTATGTTATTCTACGTCTGATAGGCATTCTTTTCTTTTTTGAGCTATTTCATTATACCACCATTGCGACCTTCACTTTACCATTTTTGTGGACCACGCCGACGGGGTTGTCACATGCTGTTGTGCCTACATATTCCAGAAGCTGGACTTTGCCCTTGTAATTATCCTTTTAATTTAGCTTCATTTATCTTCCACCTGAGGATCTTATGTGTCTGTGGTCGTTCATGTTTGATAGTCGTTATTTCAAACATAATATATTTATGGTCGCTGAGGTTCTCATCATCGAGTACTTTGTAGTTGTTGATTTTACCAGTCAAGTTCATTCTATGGAAAGTAATGTCGATATACTATGTTTGGCTTCCTCTGACAAAGGTTGGCTCACCACCATTATTTGCTATTACAAGGCGCCTTGCTGCAAGGATTTCTTCAAGGAGCTCCCCCCTTTTGTCAGCTATTCGAGATCCCCAAGTTGTCGACTTCGAAGTGAAATCTCTCCCCATCAACTGGTGCTTCATACTGTGATCCACAAGAGTTTCCAATTCATTTAGTCTTTCTTATTAAGCGTCAATTGTTATATTTGCAGAAATATATACAGATATGCGCCTGTTTAGGTTTGTTCAAACACCCGTTAACTTAGTAACCTTATTCTATCCATAAATCGTTGTTGCTAGGTTCTGTGAGGTGCAGCATTTCCGCGGACCTACATTATTTGCAATACCTAACATCTTCTAACAGTTTACAATAACAATATTTATAGAGTGAGTTCGTACCACTACTACAAGACTTTTGCGGCCAAAGACAGCTTGCCTAAAATAAAGGCATGTGACAATTTCTGATGTTGCATACTTATAAAAAGATTCAGAATACCAAGGGGATATTATGTCACTTTCTTGGGAGTATTAACTAAGAAAAATTATAAGTAATAAAGGTCTATCCCCGATAGCACCAAATATTCATTAAATATTTAATCAATATCTTTTAAATATTTTAAATACAATATTTCTTTTATAAGATTCAATGAATATTTACGTTTCAATCAATGGAAGATTTCCAATAATTAGAAAATATTCATTAAATATTTTTTTTTGTGGAAAATGGAAAAGGGTAAGTTTTTCGATAATTACAAAGCTTAATTTATATGATTGGTAAACATTATTGTGCCAGTTGAGTATAAAGGTATTCACAAAACCATAAATAACTAGCATTGGAGTGTAACAGTTATTTGGTATTGGCAGATTTATCTGAGAATGGATACGAAAATTATATTCATAAGATCCCAATGGATGGATGAGATACATCAAAAATTCTTTTTTTAAATATCTCAATTATCATTATTATTTTTGTCGTAGTAGGGGGCAGATCAGCTGTTACTATTTTAAAATTCAACAGCAACGTTACACAATTTTAACAGTCGAAAACTTTTGTCCCTTGAATTATGACACAATATCACAAAATAATTATGGCTAAATTAGCCCCTTACTAAAAAAAGTCACATTTCAACAACCTTTTCTTTAAAGTTAGTCAAAGGATCAAGTTGTGCCCATGGACTTTTTTTATCAAGATATCTAAAATAACATACCAAATTTTTTTAAAAATTAATCAAATCTCGAGCTATCATAGGCAGAAAATATGGAGTCCTTTTAGGTGCATTACAGAGCTGCTTTTCAGTGACCCGGTTGAGCTACTCGGAGTAACTCAGCATGTTCAGCACCAACATTGTTCCACTGTATTTTATATTCTCTATAAATACACTGGAGAGCAGCTTATGTATTCAATAATACTTCGTAATTAGTAAGTTTTTTTCAGAGGAGTGGACTTGCAAGATGCAGAACAGGCTTAGAATGTCTTTTTTTAATAATATTTTTCTAGCAAATTAAACCATTACGAGTATATCTAGAATGGATTTTCTTTATAAGCCCAATTTTATAGCAATCCTACAGATTTTGCTAAAATAAACAATAAAGAATTTTCTATATACACTGAAAAGATGTATCAGATTAATGCTTGAAAATCCATACATATTTACGAAAAATATTAGATATTTCATCAACATATCTTTAAAAATCTTTCCTCATATATTTTCTAAATATTTGAAAAAAATATATGAATTATATATATATATACTACAAATATATACTACAAATATCTATAACGAATATTTTATAAATCTATAAGAAATATATTTATTAAATATTAAAAAATATGTCCCTACAAATATTTAACTAACATTTTTTAAAATAATTAATAAATATCTAATGCTATCGGGGATAATTGATTCACACCAGGTTTTCCACCCACATTCTAGCAAATTTTAACATATTCCCTAAGTTTTACGTATTTATTGTACCGCGCAAACCAAAAAGACTACCAAAATCCGGACATTCCAGAGGCATAAAAATTTTGCCCATGACAGAAAAACGCCAACCAAAGCATTCATATTGAGTTTATCTTGATTTGTATATATGACTGATATTGATACAGCTTTGAATATTTTAGAGGATTATAACAATATCACGACCATCAGTTGTTCTAATTTTGATGAATTAAATAGTTTTCTGTTTGAGAGAAGTGATAAGTTAAACTTCACTATACTTCATTACAATATCAGGAGCTTGCAAGCTCGCTATGATGAGCTTTGTATAAACATAGCGGTGTTAAATAAGAATAAAAATATAGGTATAATTGTTTTGAGTGAGACCTGGAATATCAGTA